TGCCTTGACTGAACAGCTGGTTGGGCACGCCCTTGACGGTCACTTCCACTTTCATGATCTCGGGATTCCAAGTGATTTCGCTGTCTCTTCGAAACCGCTCGTATTCAGCAACGGGAATGATCAAGATGCCTTTCATCGATCTAGCCAGCATGTAAAGGTTGATGTTCCACAACACGTCGCTCTTGTCCTTGATGATCGGCCGGTGTTGCAGCACGCGGTCGTACAGGATGGACAACTTTCCCGAGTACTGGTGACGAATCTGCCTGGCCAGTTCCGTGCTCGTGACCATGTCGAACTCTAGCGAGATGTTGTCAACGACGTAGCTGGCTTCGGTGCCGTCCGACGTTAAGATAACTTTGCCGTAGTCATTGAACGTGAGTTCGTATTCCAGCCTGTCGCCCAGCGCAGCCTGGTAAAATGGCATGTGCTCCTCGAACAGCTCGAAGTCGAGCGGTATGCAAAACCGATTCCCGTACGCCGCCTCGGCAGCGGCTTTTTCTCCTTTCATTATATTGTCGAGCTGATCTGACGTGTAAACTTTCCCCACACGTAGGTCGTTTGATACATCGTTATTCCGTCTAATTCCTTGATACACCATGTCATCGCGTTCGTTCGAGGTTCTCCAGAGGTCCGCTCAACAGTAAAACACATCGCTGTCGTCGATACTCAGCACCTCGTTCCCGCTGATTTTGATGGTGGTTTTCTTGATGATGGCATGACCCAGGTTATTCACGATCGTGCGTTTGTCGCCCGTGGACTCCAACGTGATGTGAAAAGCCAGTCGAGTCATGACGGGGACGATGACGTCGTTTGCGCCTAGGTTGGGGAATCGAACCAGCAGCATTTGGTTTTGATCGATTTTGCTCGGATTGTTGGTGATGGTCACCGACTGACGCACGGCTTTGACACCGAGCTGCTCTCTCGATTTTCGGAAAGGATCGTCGTCTGAAGCCACGAAAAACATCATCGAGGAAAGATTGCGCGACCTAGAAGATGAGAGACGGACCAGATTGGGAGCCGCTTCCTCCAACCGGGAAGACCTCCGATCGCAAATCAGCCAAGTGCGCGAAACCATCAACCGAGTCTCAAACGAGGACACCACGTTGGCTGACAGGATCCGAATTCTGTTCCGGGAACAAGGGATCACCATCGCCAGCGTTCTCACGGCTTGGGGCTTCATCGTATCGACCCTGGTCGTGTTGCTGACGGGCGGTGGTGGTACGCCACCAAGCCCAACACCACCAAGCCCATCATCAAGCATCTTGGGTAGCATCGTTTGCTGGTTGTTAGGCTTCTTGCCGAAAACGGTCACGTGGCTCGGTCAAAACCTGTGGGCTTTCGTCGTCGCTGTGGCGGGTCTGGTGTACGTCGCGGCTAAGAAATTTTTAACCAAATGAGGCACAGTCCGACCGCGATCCCGCCCACCACCAGCACTGTTTTGTGATCAACGTGCCGCTGATTGTTTGCCTGCACGTGTGGTGGCAACTGCTGTTGGTGTCGTGGTGCTACCCTTACTTTCGGTGTCAGTGTCACGATGCCTGTTTTGTACTGCGGCACGACTCGACTCGCGTTATTGACGTCCTGGTTCAAGCCCAACTTTTGATCAGCTGTCGCGATGACGATTTGGTTGTTGTAGCCCACCACTCTGTTCACCCTCAGAACCATGTACAGTCTCGCGCCAAACACGTAGTCGACTTTCGACCGGGCGTATTCCAGCGCATTTTCATAGCATTCGATGGCACTCGGTAGTTCGATCGGTCTAGCAATGGCATCCTCGACGTTAGCCACAAACTGTTTCTGCAAGGAGATTCACAATAAACTGTTTTGCGGACATCAACATAAGGTAGCCAGCCAGACCGAAGCGACTCCCGGGAGGAATGCCGAGACCTGCGTTTTCATTCAGCTTCACACAGCTGTCGCCTCGCTAGTCAGTCGTCCGTGCATCATAGCCGAGCCGAGACACCCACGCTGCGACTTGCCCACAGCGCTCGCTCAATGCTACCGAGACGGCAGCGAGTGGACCCTGGGGAACTGCTGAGAGAGCCAGCCAGCCAGTTGAATGTACGAGCCGAGCTGAGCCAAACACTGCGACTCGCCCACACCCGGAGGACGACCCAGGGAGTAAACTGCCGAGAGATGTGTTTCATTCACTTTCAGACATCTGTAGCCTCGCTAGTCAGCCGGCCGTGCATCATCATCACAGCCGAGCTGAGAGACACACACACTTATACTCGTCCACGGCGCTCGCTCAAAGCAACCCCCGAGACCGTAGCGACACCTCTAGCCTCGATAATGTATAGCAAGTACGACAATACGTTGGATTGTTAGCCTTTCGCCAGACCGACCCCATGCACACTATAAAGTGATTATTTCCTAAACTATTTGACCGATTTTCGTGAAATGGACATTTTACCTTTTCCCTACCGACCCCATGCTCACTTAAAAGTCAATATTTCAGAAACTATTCGACCGATTTTCGTCAAATTTTGCATGCAACTCAGTAGTAGTATACACAATGATGGTACGGGATTAGGGCCTCCCCAAGGGGACTGGTCCCGTACCATCATTGTCTATACTATTTCCCTAAAATATTTGAGAAACACATGCACGTTTAAAGCAGTATGAATAATATTATTTTAATTCATATCCTGTTTCACGTCTCCTACCATGTGTTTACTTCACTGCGTTTACCTCCCTTACGGTGAGAATATGTCAGATGATGTCCCCTCCAACAGTGAATGACCACAGTATTCAGGCTAACAGAAGGTCATGCCGTATTCCGTCTGTGATGAACAGATATCTAAGGCTGTCCTCTCATTATTGCGGTGTACTTCCCAACTAATGTCCTGCATGTCGTGGTTTAAGCAAAACTGAAACTGAAAAGCTAACAAAATATTTTAAGAACTACAACACCCATGCAGTGTGACAAGTTAAAACAAATGTTTAAGAAATAGAAGGGATTACCCATAAGGCCCTGTTTCAATTACCCTTAATCCAGAAAGCTTTTCCGAAAACTATTAAAAACGAAACACAGACAATTGTTGCGAAAATTGGAAATGCATAAATCTCTACACAGTTGCTGTTAAATGCCCCATATCCCTGCAGAATCATTACAAAGAGACCTTAGCGACATGCATATAGCCACCGTGAAAATAGACCGTCACGTGACCGCCTCTAGCCCAATCAGGTAGCCGGACAAATATCATATTTACACACTGATGACTTGATGACATCATAAAGGATTTATTGTGAATCTAAAATCATCATTCCCCCCCTATACACACACCAACCAACCCCCCACCCCAGCCATAAATTATGAACGGTCCCAAAGAGGGATCAGGTGGTCAGCTTCGATGGCCTGGTGTACACGTCATTGTATCCCAATTGCGTAGCTCGATGCTCATACTGTTGCACACTGGATTGTCTGGTCCAAACTCGATTATTTGCAGACCGCTGCATATAGCTGGAATATCGTTGAGTGCGGCGTAAAACTAAAATTACTCACTCACTGACATATGTGTCCACGGCATTTTGAAAACCTGCATAATTGTTATCTCAACTTCGCTAAAAGAAGTCGGATGAAGCAGCCGTACAAGGATCGCATCAGAGACCCACTTTAGGTTCAAAACATCATCCAGCTTATTTTAGAAAAGAAAATAAGGATCAAAATGAGTATTTGATAAAGTTTAACTTATTTCTGACAATAACTCTTTATTTTTATTCAGTGTGAAACATTTCGGTTGGTAACATGGACAATAATTTACTATGTGTAATAACGATGATCATTTAGCAAAGAGTGGGCAGCTTGTAATTGACGTTGATTAATATTTTTTTTTCAGAATGTAATGTTAATCTGGTGGGAGATACAAGTGATAGGATCCTAACAGTGATGTAAAACGATATGGGGTAGAGCATGCGTCTATTACGAAACAAAGGTCCATGTGTGTGTGTGTGTGTGTGTGTGTGTGTGTGTGTGCGTGTGCGCGCGTGCGTGCGTGCGTGCGTGCGTGCGGGCAATTCATTTTTCACCCGTTTTTCTGGAGAGTTTCAATGGTCATTTAATAAACTTTCAGGACAAGGTGGTGGGTTACGCGCGCACCCTAGGGCCCCTCTCTGGCTCCGCCTATGATATTTCTGTTTCCTAGTATCGCACAATTATAGACCATAATGCAAGGGTTATTTTAGCCATGTATGAATAGTACTGTACGAAATATACTAACCTTTCACAGTTCGCCCTGTCGTCCTTTACCAAACAAATCTCATCAGCCCTGTTACTGAACTTTGCATTGTTTGTAAATTTCAGTAACTGGAACGAAGAAAGAGTCACACGTTTGAAAACAATGAACAATGATACTTGGGCCATAAGTAAATGTTTATAGCACATAATGTTTTTCTGGATATCCCGACTTGGGTGAAAAGTTGTCGATGTCAAATATCTATGAGCGGCTGGATTGTTGGACAGGACTTTGAAAAGAATATCACGTTTGTGCGCGAATATGAATCCAACTCAACGGTTCTTGTCAGTATTACTTATTGCTGCCTATAATGAAACACAACAGGAATTAGGCAGGATGTGGTGTTAAGTGTTTGGTAATACTCGACACCCTCTACCTATTGATTACAACATAAGACCACCATAAACTTCAGTCTCTATCTTTATAATTTGTGAATTTAGTCAAACTGTGCATGAAAAACACAACCAGAGAAATCTTGTTGCCATGGCAACGTTTTGATGTCGTTAATGTGGAGTTGTAGAATGATGAGCACTGTTATGATTTCAAACACCCAAACCCATTTATTATGTTTTAAGAGAGTTTCAAAACAAACCGATTATATGCTTCACGTACCCCGCGATAATACTCGCGTGATTGGTCCTGACTGGTTAACGACAACAAAATCTGGTTTACGGCAAATATTTCATTCGGCAGAGATCGTATAATTACGCCAATCCCGTTGCAAAATGCACTGCTAACCGATATAAACTAAATCATACACCGATGTTCAGAACGAGCATGTCATCACCAGCAGAGGAGGAAATTTAGAAACTGTCTATGAAATTCTGTCATTATCAAATGAATGTGACGGATTGTTTTGATAAATAGCGTCATCAACATGGGAAACAAAGCTACAACCTTCACCGAGGATCAGTTAGAAGCATATCAGGCAAGTGACAGTGTGCGATTCATCAGTTTAACGAAGTCGGTAATGATGTCATTGTCACCAAGAAACTCGAAGGGGGCTCCTTCGTGAACATCAAAGCTCATAGCTTTAATCGTCATAGACTGTTCGTCTGTTGTGGCTCTCGCTGAAAAGATCCGACAGACAGGCCTACCATACAAAAGGTAAACAAATCATCAAAATTGAACTCATATACATTGTACACCAAAACAGAACAAAAGTCACCAATACAATATAGGAAAATAAACTTCCCAAACTGCAACAATATCCTCTAAAACCGAAACAATATATCTGTAATGGAAGACTAATCGGTTGGAAATGGAAACAAAACTCATGTATCAGCTACAAGAACGTGCAAAAACGGTCGCCGAGCGTACAAAACGGCATTCATAGCATCCCATCATGGCAGTCATAGCATCCAATCGTCAAAGATGGCGGCGATGGGAGTCGAATACTCGGAATAGGCTTTGGTACATAATGTTTTTCGTCACTATGAGTCTAATCTTGAAAATTTTATATCGGGATGTAGCGCATCAACCCCCTATTGTAGTAAGCTTCAAGCCTATGTCCATACTTCTCAGTGTCAGGCTTGCAATTCTGCACAATGTGGTCCCTTGTTCGACCGAATAGGATTTCTTGTCAACATGCCGTGCTAATGTTTCTCTTCAGTTTTGTAAATATAGTATTCATAGCGTCACATTCAACATTACTGTATTTTAGCAGGGAGACTATATAACGGGGAGTGGTCACTCTTAGAAAAGCCCCTTAGCATATGCTTCGGCTCATCACGTGACCAGTGTAGCCAATATGGCGGCAGCGTAGTTTTTAAGATTGAGCCCGGTTTATTTTCAACAGCTGATTACATTCGCTGAGTGTTGTGACAACTGAAAACCTACATGTAGATGATAAGTTACCTATTCTGTCACTTCATTTTAAGTCAAATAATTGTTATTAGTGTCAGTATTAGTACAGTAGATTTGTAGTAAAGTTTCAAGTCGGCATGTTGTAGCTCACTGGCTTCAATTCTCAGTACACAGCGAAGAAAGACTAAATTCTATCGCTAAAAACTTCTTTCACATATTGGTTTAATTTTTAGAAGGGAAAAATATACCTTTAGTTGAAAGGTGTTTGCAAGTAATAGTGATAGCTTTATAACTAAATAAATTGTTAGGGTGTATTTGAGGGGTGTGAAAAATATGACATATCGCCGATCTGCCATTGAAATACTACTGGGCGTTGTTTGAGTGTTTCTAGTTATTCTAAAACATCTTTCACATACACCTTTAATTTTGATGAGGGGAATATACCATTTGGTGAAAGGTGTTTGCAAGTAATAGTGTTAGTTTTATAATTTAAATTTTTTTGTTAGGGTGTATTTGAGGTGTGTGAAAAATATGACATATCGCCGATCTGTTCTGATCCGCCATTGATGCTTGTGATGCATTAGCCGAGACCCGCGATGCGGTCCTATACAGTTGTATAGGACTGCATCGCGGCTCTCGGCTAGTGATGCTTGAGTGTAATAGTTCTAAGACTTCTTTCTTTCTTGTTGATCTTAGTATTTGACAAAACTGGAAAGGTGTTTACAACGCTTTGTGATAGTAACATTCTGTCAATGTCCATGCCATTCCACACATGCAATAAGATATCTGAATTAATTACTAATGTAAAAAATGTCTCAAAGTAGATTTTTAAAAAAAAGTACACCTGATGTTAACACGTGTTCTAGCGATAGTTTTGCGTTCTTTAACATGTTTGGGGAGGGATGGCCGTGGTGTATCATTTATTTTTTCATTCATTCACATATGTATTTATTGCAAAATTCCGACTGACACAATAAACTGGCTGAAGTACTGTTAAACGCAGCCGAAGTTGCGCTGGGAACAAACCAAGTCACTGTGTGCATTGGAGCATGACGAGGCACACGCTAATTAGTTCAAATGGTAAAGAAAGCAAGCGAGTGACCCATCCCTGTTGTAGAGTATCTCTGATTTTAGTGATTTAAAAGTTTACAAAACTTTGTTCATACTCCTTGAATTGCATATCTAAGTGATCAATTTTTCCTTATCCTGACTCATGCTTATTGCTTGTCTGCATTTCCTTCCGAATGCTAGTGGAACACTTGAATCCCCTTTTGAAGCTCCCTTCAAAAAAGCGGACGTAAAATCACTTACCAGGAGTCACCTCCCTTGCCAGATTTTGGCGGGAACGGCGCCACCCGTCTCCCATGCTCTTCACTCTCTCCTGATTCGCCCGAGTGGGCGGTTGTGAGAGCACCTGGTCCCCTATATGGCTTTATATCCTTTTATTATTTAGGCTTTTCTTCTAAATTAGCTGTATAAGGCTTTAGTTAACATTTACCTACAATATTGAACGGAATTAATTCTCAAATTTCTCCGTTTTTGTCACGTTTTTACGTGATTATTCACATTGTTTACAATTGATGAAATCTTGTTCTGATTGTAGGTATCGTTTGTCTGCTGTTGATCCGCATAACCTAATTGCAAGCCTATATGTTTATCTGACACTCGTTGTCAGTTGTGTTTTCACCTGTCTGATATTGCATTTTACAAATATTCATATTATCTGTCTAGACGTGCAAAGGACAGGTCCAGACGAGAATTACACGACATGTCTAAACCGGCTAAGCTTGCAGAGGACCGGCAGTTGGTGTCTGCGCAGATACACCATTCCAGTGGTCTACCGGGGTCGTCTACGGAGGAGGTTGCCGCCTTAGACAACACTGGCTCGAGGAAGAGGTCATCTACATCTGAGACACCCTCTTCGCAGTCTTAGAAGACTAGGGCATCGTCTTCCCAGAGGAAGAAGGCAGCTACAGCTAAGACTTCGGCGAAGTCTCCACATGGGGCAATGCAGAAGATGAGATCTTTTTCAGCTGAGATCGTCCCTCTGGAAGAAATAGATGTCTACGATGAGCCGCCCATCCTCATCCCTGAGATCACATCTAAGAAGAAGACGAAGACGTCTTCTACAGTGACCACGCAGGACATCCTATCAACGCAGACGTTTGGCACGAGGGATCTATGCCCTTCGGAAGAAGCCTCATCCATCTCAGATGCGTCGTCAGTACAACAGACAACGCAGACCTTCAACCCGGGCGCCTTTATGCAGCAATTTACCCAACAGATGTTGGATCTGATGGAACAACGGTTTGCACGCGAGAGAGCTGCGACGAAGACGACGTCTGCGACGAACCTGACGTCTGCAACGAACCCGAGTGAAGGTCAACTGAGCAGCACACCACTTCCGTTGGGAACCAACGTCCTGCAGTGCATACAGGAAGATTCCAGCTCGACTATACCGCACGAATACCTGGCAGCCATACCAACGTGGACTCCGCACCAACTACGTTCGACGGAAGGACCAGACGTTCGCCGAACCCACGCAGATCATCATCGACGTCAGATACGGACGTTCGTCACGAACCTGCATGCAACGGTTTGTTACCAAGGAGAAGAGAATCAACATCCGTATGAAGGCATGGAGATTCGTCACAAGACTCCAACCCTCGACAAAGCCGTTCACCAACACGCAGGTTCGCGCGAAGGCACGCACGGTCATCTCTATCTCCATGCAGGTCCCCACGAACACATTCACGAACGTATGGTTCGCCACGAAGGTCACCACGCAGGTCGCCTTACAGATCGCCACGCAGGTCACCACACAGATCGTCTTACAGATCACCTTACAGATCTCCTCGTTCAGACGACAATAGAAGACATCCATCCTCAGAGCAGGAAGATGACAGCGTAATTATATTTTCCGACTTGGAAATCAAGTCATGGATGGCCAACGGTTTGGAACTCGCATCACCCTCTAAGGAGACCAACGAAGCACTATCATACTTGTCCACTACAGAGATTTGTGAACGCCCACTTACACAGTCTGGATCCCTTCGAAATACCAGACAGGCTAAAACCATATCTACTATGGTGGCCTCAGAAGTCGAATGATTGCGGTGGAAATTACTTAATAGAGCCGGAGTGCAACGTCCACCTCTACACAGACGCATCACTGCACGGTTGGGGAGCACACCTCGACAACGAAGTGGTTGTCGGGAAATGGTCGAAACAAGAAATGAATCTGCATATCAACATGCTCGAGATGAAAACAGTAGTAAATGCCCTACTACATTGGTCCAACATACTAAGGAACGCAAAATTGATGATCCATACGGACAACTCAACAGTGGCGTTCTACATAAACAAACAAGGATCAACAAGATCTTGGAATCTTCTAGACCTCAGCTTTCAACTATTCAACATAATAGACAATCTCAACATTTATGTGAAAGCATGTCACATTCCGGGAGCCAGGAATGTAATAGCAGATGCGCTATCTCGACCACATCAACCATCCCCAACAGAATGGATGTTACATCCACAAGCGTTCAGATGCATCATACAGACGATAGGATCTCCACTCGTAGACCTATTCGCCGTGAGATTCAACAATCAACTGGCAACATTCGTCTCTCCAATTCCCGATCTGCAAGCATGGGCGACAGACGCTCTAAGCATCCCATGGGAAGGGCTAAACGCGTACGCGTTCCCTCCGCCAGCGTTAATACCACAGGTATTACAGAAAATCAGGCAGACAAACAATCTACAACTGATTTTGGTCGCGTCTTACTGGCCAGCAAGAACATGGCTTCCCATTCTCTTACAAGAAACCGGAAAACCAACAATACAACTTCCAGTTTGGTCGAACCTACTAATTCATCCTCACACCAAGCAAGTTCACAAGTATCCCAGATTATTCCACCTACACGCATGGAACGATCATCGCTTAATTGCTTGTCGAAAAGAGGATACTCCGCCAGAGCAGCGAAAGCAGTTACACTAGCTTTACACAGATCTACCCGTAACTTGTATGACGACAAGTGGCAAAGCTTTGAGAAATATGCATCGAGGAAAGGTTTCACTGCAGTGAAAGCAACACATCCTCAAGTGGCGGAATATCTT